GCCCGAGTTAATGCAATATTCGTTTTCGGCTTGAAATGACTTTTTCGCCAACGACATCGACGTCGACATCGAAATGATGCCGTCATTGGGGCATTTTATAGCAAACTACATCGTCTGCATGCAAATGGCAGAATCTAATGTATTGTACACACGCATCAAGCGAGATGCAACATGTTAATGAGACAAGTTAACGCCTGACTGAATGGGACATTCAACTTGATGCAAGTTCAAAGAAACTGCCATTAATATTTGTCCGTGAACTCGACGAACACTGTGTTTTCTGAATAGAAATCGATTTGAACGCTTAAGTTGCAATTTGTGTTTAAGTTCTAACTTCTTAACTTATTCATTCTGCGCGCCCAATAGTCAAAAGTGTATTTGGCATGGCAAAGCTACAATAACCTATATGCGGCTATATATGTATACTTAACGATAAAAATGTGGTCTGTAGTTGAGTTAAATGTGTTCAAAATGTCATTCATGTTACTATTATCTATTGTATTGCCCATTGTGGATAAATATCTATATAGCTACAGCTAGACCTATTTCAATTTTCCATTCTATGAGCACAGTTCCTTATGCGGCTTTTTCTGTTAATCGAATTTACATACATAAAATTATATTTCATCTATACATTAGGTACATCTTTCTCCAGTTGTTATCTCCTCTATTCTTTCTATTTTTACCTTCGGCGTCCTCTATTCTTTTCGCAACAGTCGCCAACTGGCCAACAAGTTGGACTTATTTATTTCAGTGCGCCGCTTCTATGCCACTCACTATATAAATAGATGGCATTCACTTCTAATCCGGGCCATGCTCAATGGAAATTATCTTAGGTGTACAAGTAATAAATATTCTAATTGAGTACATTGCGTGCAAACTTTGGCTAAACAAAGAACAAAAATACTTGAAGTCCGTTGGGTTGTCTGTGAGATTCTGTCGAGCAGAATGCTAAATACTTGCTTGTAGAACCATTCGAATCAAGTGGGCGAACTACATGGAGAGAGATGCTAAGGCGACAGTCGGCAGTCGACATTCGAGAGCTGAGAACTTTAAATGCTTCTGAGCATTCGCCTGCATTGCTCGCTAATTTATTCAACTAAATTAACTCAAGCTCTCAATGGCGGAGCTGGGTCTTAGCAACAAAGATGCTGATGGGCGGGTGAAGGAAGGTGCAGACGTCTCTGTACGCACGTTGATATTGCGAAAAGCAACTCATTAGCATATTCTAATTAATTTATATTATTCCAAAATGCACAAACTTAATTGCTACGGCCACTTAGTTAATGAAATTGTAGTTCAACTCCGGACCGTGAGATTTCAAAACTTTATGCGGCTGCCAATGACGATTTCAAACTGTCTTGCGGCAGCAATGGAACTGTGTTGACAGTGTGCAATAGAGATGGAACCATCGCACGATAGTAGATGATAGCTGTATATATATTGGTATAAATCTATATGTCTCCCCTCATCTATCTCTATCTCTCCATCTCCCCACGTCTCTATCTCTTTGCCTCTCTACCTCTCTACCTCTCTATCTCACTATCTCTCTATCTCCATCTCTCTATATTTCTCTCTATCTCTCCATCTTTCACTCTCACTCTCTATCTCTACTCGAACTCTTCCTATCGAAATCTTTAATAACTCATTTTTATTTTTGCATTTTTCGTGTCACGCGCTCATCTCTAGTGTGCAGTTAACAAAAATGAGGCTTAATATAAACTTTTAACAAGAGTCGCAGGAAGCCAACATCATTTTAAGATGACACAACATTCGTAAGCCTCATTACCAGGCTGTGGGTGGATGCTTGTGCCTGTGCCTGTGTGGGTGGACTGCCTTTCATTAGAAGACGCCAAAAGAAACAGGCTTGAGCAGATTTTGTTGGCAAACAAATTTTTGAGAATTCATGATGGGGTAGCAGAAGAGGAAGTCGAGTTACGTTGCGGCTACGAAACTTCCAGGCACATATACAAGCACACACACAAACGCACACATAGAGAGACCCTCTGGCAGCCAGACAATTTGCATTTGCCGTATGCTTGGTAAACAGATTGCGTTGCGTATACGCCCAGTTGTCTGTTGGCCCCTTTGAACCAGCTAACTCCCCACTCGTCCATTCGCCCGACTGGCACTTTGTCACGAATAAAGTTTGAGTGCTTGTAAGTTATTTCAGTGTACGATTGTCTGTCTGTCAGACTGCCTGACTGTGTGTGTCTGACAAGTGACGACACATGTTTTGAGAGGCGCTGGGATCTGCTGCTGGCACAATGCGCCCGCCTGGCAACTAATTTATGCCGCATAGAATCGAGCTCCAAAGATTGCTTGAATGCCGAGCACCTTTCCATGTCTGCATTAATGTCTCCTTAATAACATTCGCCGCCACAATTCAACAGCTCGCTCAAAATTTGCTTTCGTCTTTCGTCCCGCTCCACAGTCTCAAGTTTCAAAGGGGTCCAATGTTTACTGCAACACTGCAACAGTCCTCAATGATGTATATTTGGCACAGAGTGCACAACACGTATTGTGCACCTATCCAATGGCATCAATTACCAGACAGTACTCAACCTCTTATCCGAAGCAACATGCCCTTTGCAAATAATTTCAATAGCTTAAACGTGGCTTTTGAGTGTTTTATTTCTACAGTATTTATTTTAGTACTTTTCGCTTACTTCGTCAGAAAGACATTTAAGTTAATTGTATGCCTAGAATGAGGTATGTTTTTATATCTAAGCTCATATTTATATACGGTTGTATTTCATGTTGTCTCTTGGTTGCTTTTACCGCTGCAAATATTTTTCGTTATTTCACAATTATTTTAATTGCAATACTCTGTAGAAGGGGAAAATCACAGCACATTAGTTTTAATACTCGCTAAAACTGTGTCCCAGCCTGTGTCAGCTGCATAAGCCGATGTATCCGCTGCAGATGGTTGAGTTTTAGGTTTGTCCGCTTGTCTTTCCGTCTGCTGAATACAGCTACAATGCTTTCATTCTGATTCTTGTTTCATTATAAAACATTTGACCCTGGTCTGTAGCAGCTGTCAGAGTATAAAATATGTCTGCAGGATATTAAGTCTTTTTTTTATTATATTTTGCCAGTAAACTAAGAGAGCGAGCCTAAACACATAAAGTTCTTTAGTTTAGCTTCAGTTAAATAGAAAGCAAATAAATGTTATTTATGTTTTGTCCATTTAAATCTCTCAAAATGCGATAAACCAACGTCAAAGGCAATTTTAGCCGTAGGCGCTTTTAGTTTCAGATTTGACAGGGCAGACGTTCACATAAAAATGGCTTTGGAAGTAATCGACAAAAGGAGAAATCCAAATCCGTTTTGTGAAACTAGTTTTCGGTGCCAAATGACGAGGCGACCTTGACTGGATCAGTCAACAAACGAGCCGGAACGAAATATGCGCATTTCCCATTCAAATTGCGAGCTAAAGTTAGGGGGGCAATAAAGCGAATGTCGATAAATGAGATTGACAATGACAAACATGAAATCGAATGCAGTAAGGTTAACACAAAGATGAAAAAATGCCAGTTGCGAGTCAATAAAAAAAGAGAGACACAGCCCGAAAATGAAACCGAGGTGAGGTCAAATGGCAAACGGAGCGAGGGCAAGGAAAAGCCCCAACGATAACCAAAAAACCAAAGACCTTAAAACAAAATGAACTCAACAGAGTGACAGCTGAGCAGAGCGTCTAGGTTAACAGATGGCCGAACATTTACGGCCACTGTGGCCATGTGTCAGCCGGTGACCAATGCTTTCAAAGAGCAGCACGAAGAACAAGACTACGCTAAGCGAAAGTGATCGAAGAGAGTATATTCCGTACTCTGTAGCGATAGTGTGGAATATATAAGTGTATATCGAAAGGGTTTAAGCAGATATTTAGTGATGATGATAGGAGCAAGCTGATCTCAAAAAACTTCAGTCACGAGCGTACAAGAGCTCAATTGGAATTTAGTTTATATTAGCCTGAAGCAGATTCCACAGAGAGATTAGATATGGACACAAAAAATTACTACAAAAACCTTGATTCAGTTCTATTATACCCTTTTATATGCTCTGAATGTACTTAGGGTATAAACATCGAGAAAACCAAACGACAACTGAAATGACCAAACGTCAAGTGCACAAATACATCTGCTCTGCTCTGCTCTGCCCCTACATAAAGAGGGGCAAAAAGCATGCTCGTTCGCTGGGTTTAAATGTGAATTAAAGAATTCCCCGAAGGTCCGCAGCTGAGTAACATATGAAAGATGGCTTATATGCGACTAGTTGGCCACTTATGGCTGGCACGGGTTTGGGTAGAACAACAAATGTGCAAACATTGGTTTAGAGAGCACTGCTGCCCACTCGCCAGTCGCCAGTTGCCAGTTGCCAGTTGCCACTTGCTGCATTTGCCATTTGCATAAATCAAATTTGAATATGCATCGCTGGCTGCCACGGCCAGCACCAGCGACGACGCCAGTTGCTAGTGGGTTGTCGGTGGTGGTTAGTGGGTGTCAGGCGAGGCGGATGCGTATGTGGGGCGACAAGCTCAAAGCAGCTGCACAAACACGTACGTGCAAAAGCAAAGCATGTGTATGTATGGGTGTTGTCCTCCACCTGTCCTCGAACACGCACGAACTGAAAAGCACGCACCAAACTCACACACACATCAACAGGCAGAAGCTAATGTATGAGGGTATACAAAGCAGCTAACTCTGTGAGCAACCGACAAAAAGTAGTTAAGCATTAGGCATGTGAAATGTAGACTAAACCTTCCAGAGTAACTTTATTAATTAATTAAATTAATGCAAATTAAATTAAATTTTTTTATAAATTTCATTTCGAGAAATTAAGATTAATCATATATAATTTTTACCATCAAGGCCAAATTTTAGCTAGAACAGAATAAAAAATGTGAAAAAAATATCTTAAAAAAGAATGTAATTAATAGAAACTGAAAGTAATTTTAAGCTTTAAATATTTTTAAAATTTATTTTTGTATTAGATTTTTCTTTTTGAAATTTTTGTTGGTTGTATTCCTCAGCGTTTCCTTTTGCATCGACTGGCACGTTGAGATTAACTTTCCTTGCTAATTTACGGTGCACAAACACATTTGAAGCACATTAACATAGACGAGTGTCACGAGCGACTCGTATGAGGCAACATTTTGTTGCAACTGCCATTCGCGAATTATGAAAATCAGATTAGGGGGGAAGTAATGCATTAGTATTTTATCTCTGATTACAGTGCTTCAATGAACCGCGCTGTGCTTAATGTGTACAATGAAGCAACATCGTAGACTGAAAAATAATAGTAAGCGAAGAAAGATAAAAACGCTAAATTGAATAAAGGTCAAATCAGACCCATGAGAAAAATATCTTAAATATATTATTGATTCTATTAACTATTGATAGATTAATATCAACGCTTACTTAAATTTTTGTTAGTGTAAAAAATTTGTTCTCTGTGCAGGAGACACTTGATTTGCTTTCAAGTCTCGGTTGTCTTGTACACATTTAAAATGTTGTCATTTTATATTAAGCTGAGAAACGGGCAATCCATATCACTTGCGCCTCTTCGGATCGGTTTGAGTTCCTGTAGTTATGTCAGTTCCACTAACAGCACTAAAAAAGAAATTTCATTACAATGCTTACCACGTGGATTAAGACTGGAAGTTTCTGGCAAATCATCAGAATCTGGATTTTCATATTTGCTTTGAGATTTGGCAAGGGCTGTTGTACTTTCTATGAAGTCCTTATATATGGAAACATTAGCGTCTTGTGTTCCCTGAAAAGATTCACCTTCCCTAATATCTGTCTGATTTCTCATAAATGGTTCTAACACGTTCGTAATAATTGATACGACAGATTCTTTTTGTTGCGGAACCTCCATCGCAACTTCCTCCTTTTTTGGCAATTTTGTGTCAGCCGGACTATTAGCCGTAGTTTGTGCGAATCCAGTCAGAATATCCATTGGAAATGGGTAGACAATCGTAAGCTTGCGTTCATGGCAAATTGATGTTAAGATCTGCAAGTGCCGTAACTGTGGAAGTGTTCGATATACATTCGTTACTTTAAATATATGTCTGATACTCACCTGCAGAGTAATTTTATTTTTGGCCATCACGTCGGATGCCTCCTTCAAAGCTTGCGATGCATTAAGCTCTCCTTCTGCAGAAATGATCTTCGCACGAGCTTCCCGCAAAGCCTCTGCCTCGCTGGCCATGGTTCGATGAAGTATTTCCGGTAGATTAATGTCCTTACTAAGCATGTACATAAGAAGCATGTGGGAGGACTAAGAAATTGATATTGTGGTACTTACAGTGCAACTCGATCGATTTTCACACCCCACTTCTCAGAAGCCCGCTCGACAGCAATGCCTATTTCTTCGGACAACGTTTCCCTGGAGGTCAAGAGTTGGTGAAGTTTTTTCCCACCCACGACATTACGCAGCGTTGTCTGAGCTATGAGGAGAGTAGCCTCGTGCACATCATGGATTCTCACTGTCGAACTCAACGAGTTAATTATATGGTAGAACACCACACCATCGACACTAACTGTGACCGAGTCTTTGGTGAGCATTTCCTGAGTGGGGATGACCATCACTCTGGTACGCAAGTCCACAATTCTGTAGGAATCGATGCAAGGCAAATACCAGAAAAGACCCGGCCCTTCTGCTCCTCTCCTAAGCGAGATAATGTCATGCAAGAGAATATAATAAGTCTGAAAGTCTTACCTTACTCGCCCTAGACGAAAGATAACTGCTCGTTGATATTCGGCGATCGTACCAGAACAAAAAAACATGCTCAAGGGAAAGGTGATGACAACGATGAGCCAAGATAAGCATATTGCAATTTTCTCAAATGTCGAAATTTGTATCTTTTTATGCAGATTTAGATTCGTAGTTATGAACCAATCATCTATTCCTGCATATCCTGTTCTTGATGTCTGATTAAAGTCATTCGACGTCGGTACGTCTTCGTCTTCTCGTTTACCGTCCATAGCAGCTTTGTCATCCATATCGTACTGGTGAATTGCGTTGAATAGCGCTTACAATAAATTTTGTTTTCTGCGTTAATAATTAACGACATATTTACAAAAGTATTTAGTGCCCAATAATTCTTAGAGTTATTGATTCAAAAAAAAATTTCAACTTATTTAAAATGATGTAGATGGAATGTAAACGTTATACTGTTAATAGTTTCATGCAACTCAAATTCGGTATTCGATATTCCCCACATTGGAATTTTACTGTTGAGAAGTTTTACTCCTCTTCGTTGTAATTTTTCTCAAATACTGTCGACTGGGATATTTCTTCGGCTCGGGGCTTAATGATCGGCATAAGCGACCCTGCGGCTAGAGCTCCGCCTTTCTTACGATTCTCAAATGGCGACAATATCTCCAATGGGAAAGGATAAAAAATCGTGACCATGCGTTCATGGGCAATCGATGTCAAGATCTGCAAATGCCGCAGCTATACAGTTTTCAACAGAGGTATGATTGGTTAGCTACCGAATATTTATTTATTTGAAGGCTGCACTTACCTGTAGAGTGATATTATTTTTAGCCATCACGTCGGATGCCTCCTTCAATGCTTGCGAAGCCAAAACCTCTCCTTCCGCGGAGATGATCTTGGCACGAGCTTCCCTCAAAGCCTCCGCCTCGCTAGCCATGGTTCGATGAAGTATTTCCGGCAGATTAATGTCCTTCCTAAGCTTGCACATAAGAAGCGTGTGAGTAGACTAAGATATTGTGGTACTTACAGTGCAACTCGATCGATTCTCACACCCCACTTCTCAGTTGCTCGGTCCACAGCAATACTTATTTCTTCGGACAACACTTCCCTGGAGGTCAGGAGTTCGTGAAGCGTTTTCCCGCCCACGACATTACGCAGCGTTGTCTGGGCTATGAAGAGAGTTGATTCATGCACATTAGAGATCTGTATTGTCGCATGCAATGATCCGGTGATATAGTAGAAGAGTACTGCATCGACACTAATTGTGACCGAGTCTTTGGTGAGCATTTCCTGAGTGGGAATCACCTCCACTCTGGTACGCAAGTCGACAATTCCGTAAGAATCGATGCAAGGCAAATACCAGATAAGCCCCGGGCCCGCGGGGCTTTTCCTAAACCGGACAAATTCATGCAAGAGATCATATTAAGTCTGTCAATCTTACCTGACCCGTCCCAAACGAAAGAAAATTGCTCGTTGGTATTCGGCGATCGTAGCATAGCAAAAAAATATGCTCAGGGGAAAGGTAATGATAGCGACGATACAAGATAAGCATATTGCAATTTTCTCAAATGTCGTGCTTTTTCGGTTTTCACCTATCAACGAATAAGACGGTTAACAAATATGGATAGTGGAGAATGTGGTTGTGGAGCTTTTACTTGTTTTAATGTATTTCTTTCCTTCTCTACGCTTAGAGGAATCCTCCGATGGTTCTGATTTTATTTCAATCCTCTTCGATTCTTCCATAACTAGTAATTTTGCAGAAGAGTTTCGTATTTGTAAATGTGATTAATGAAGCTTGGGGCTCTTGACTTAATATATTATTCAAAACATTCCATGTACATATTTTAATTTGATCAATCTTAGTTAGTTTTTCTTCTAAGTTAGATCGAAGTAGTTTGCTTTTTTTGTAGTTGAAGTGCAGCCTATGCCTGCGAGTTTGCATAATATTTTGGGAAGAACTATATGAAAACTTTTAAATTTATATGTAGCAGCATTTTGAACAATTTCACAGAATGCCAAACTTTGGGCAAACAAATAAGAATGCTTGAACCAAGTGAAGCCGACTAAAGGATATTCTGCAGAAAGTCTTTATTAAGCGTTATCAATTTCTATACATCACAGAAGATTAAGTTAGTAATTATCTGATGCCTCCGAAAATATCCAATTTTTTTATCAACTGTATAGTGCATGAAAGCATTATAAAACAATATACACTATGGTCAAAACAGCCTGTGCGGGTTAGAAAAAATAAGTTTGTCACTGAAAGTTGCCAAAAAGTTGGCAGTCGAAAAACTTAAAACTTTTGTTTTCTCGCCCACATTATTTTCTTTTATTTTTTTGGCAAATGGCAAATGGCAAGAGACAAAGGCCAGCGGGTGAGCTGGCATGGATGTCGCTGGTATGGGGGATAATAACTTCGGAATGACTTTTGTTGCTTCCTTATAATGCATTGTGCGGCAGTGGCAGCTACTAACTTTTTCACTCCGTGACCACATGTGCCAGTCCGAAAGTTTTTTCTGTGCTCCACTCAGTTTCACCCGCTGCCAGATTCATGCGATCCCATCATAAAGTAATTTATGTGATTTGCTTCTACTCGTCCGATTGCAAATGCAGCGCCATATGGCCAGCACCAGGCAGACATCCAGCCAGCCAGCTAGCCAATTGTCTCGCCGAGCACACAGAAAATTACTCTATTATGTTTTCGACTCAAATGGGACGCATTCACTGATGGAGGAATAAAGTTATTAGTCCACAGGGAGTAGCTGACCACAGCATATAAAGTAATTCCATGAACCGACTAAATGAATGTCACATCGGACTAAGCGAATCCGTCATTGTCAGCATTTGTAATGGAATATGTCTACATGAATGCATATAGTATGCATCGACTTTATGCTGACGCTAAGCCGCTTAAAGTCTTAAAAGTGTATGGGAATCACGCAGCAGCAGCAAAAGAATACTTAATTACCATTTGTAGCTGACAATTGGCGCAATTAGTTGTAACTTTAAATGGATTTACAGGAATCGATGAAATTCTATTTTAAAATATAATAAGTGGATTTAGATAAAGTGTGTGAAATTAAAACCCAATGCATCAATAAAGGCAGTCTAGAAACACTTTATGTAGATACAGTTTCCCTGCTTTTTATGAAATATTTGAAGCTAAAAGATGTAGAAGTTACTTTCCCTTACTTGGGCCAAGCAACCGGAGGAGCTATGTTTAACACTGTAATATAAGAGCGGCACTTGGCCCATTGAACTAGCTTCGTAAGAGATTTATATTTGCAAAGACATCATTCGTTCCGCTTGATCATTGTACGAACAATATAGCGAATATTTATTATCATAGAAGCCTCATCGAAGAGCCATTCTTTTATAAAATTGTAATTTGAGTTGAGTTAATTTACCTACATTAGCAAACCAAGTAACCTACACACTAAAATGTTGATACACACACTTTCTCTTATAACATTTCATCATTACAAACAGACACAAGATACACACTGAATAAAAAGTTACAAATTTCTGAGTCTTGTAACAAAGAAATTTAATAATAAAATTGAAAATTGAAAATTGAAAAATGAAAAGGAGCAGAGATGAGGAAGCATATATGTCGAGGCGCGAGGCCTTACGCATAGGTCACATGGGTGAGCCGCTACCCAAATGTCAGTCAGAACAGAGCTAATTGAGTAGTATTTAGATTTCTCGTCGCTGCGCATTACAGTTATTGAAATTGTATTGGCATGCATGAAGGATGCATTCGAACGGGTCAAGATCTCCGTGATGTTGCCAAAGCTAATTCAGGACCGGGCAATGGTGGTTAAGGTGCTGACTGGTACACCGTACGAGCCGGCAATAAAACTGGTAGACGACTTTATGCGACGACGCGATATTATAGTGAGGGAGAAGCGGCCGCCACTGATGGATCACGGCATGATAAAGATCATAGATTATTTTCAGCGACATTGCCAAATTCAAGCACTGTTCCCCGGACTAACGAAAAACACTTCCGAGAGGGAGCAAAAGCTACTAACGGCCTTTGCTAAACTGATCGACGTGGCCAAAATCCATTTGGACCGGGATGCTTATGAACACATACAGAACGAACGCACATTGCACAAAGTACTCAAGGATAAGCAGAAACTTTGGCTTGATATACAAAAATTGCAGAAGTTAATTGAAGAACACCGGGAGGAGGAGAAAGCTCATTTGCACGCAAAGGAAGTGAGTGCTTTAAAAACGATGGAAGACATTAAACAGAAAAAATTACGGAACGACATGAAAATTGAACGGGAAATGTAATTTATATATATATATATATATGAATTTATATATTTCATTTATTTATTTCCACTTAGTGAGCATTTTCGACGAGCTGCGCGAGAGAATGAAAAGGCAAGCCGAGAGAAACAAATCGAACTGTTTGAGGAGCTGCAGAGAGTCAGATACGAAGATGCAAAGCTAACGAAGACCAGCAAAAATAATGAAAAGGAAGCTCGCGAAGAAAAGTAACTAAGAACTTAACCATATCATTTAAATTGTTTTTTATATAAATATATCACAACTTTCCTTATAGAAACAAATACGAAATACAACTGCAGAGCATTATTAAGAAATATGATACGTTGATGGGTGAGAAGTTTTGTGAGAGTCTGGAGCTGACGGATCAGCTCAATGCGGCTAAGAATGAGCTCAAGGGCTTCATGGTTTATTATCGTAAAGAGAAAATCATCTACGATGAGATCGTGATCAAACGCGAACAGGAGGAGCAGCGGCAAAAGAAAATAGCTATCATAAGTTACATGATGAATCGGGCTGCTCGCAAAATTCAAACATATTGGCGCTCTTGGCGCAGGAGTATGAAGAAGAGGAACAAACGTGCCAAGAAGTATTAAACTATATGATCTAATTGAAGAGGGAAATACAGGTTAAAACAACTCGTAGAAAACTATCAATTGTAGATACACAGCTAAGAACGTTGTTCTCAAAAACAAATAAATAAAGCATAGTGAGTGGGTAGAATGTGTTTTTGTGTATGTTTATTGAGAAGCAATTTGGAATGTTCAGCGGAGCAGCTTTGCACGACGCGTCGCCCGGAGCATCTCCTGTTCGGGCTCGCTCGACTAGAGCTCTCTTGTTATTTTTAGACACACACATGCATAGTTGATATTTTATTTTATTTCATTTAATTTTACTTTATGTTGTTTCATACACCATGCAGATCCCAGTGACAAAGTTGCCGACCGCCCTGGACAACCCGTATGAGTGGATGCTCAAACAGCTACATGATGTGCCAAATATCGATGTTGGCGATGGTAAGCATTCGAAGGCGCGCAAAGGCATTTAAATCAACAATGGATGCCTCCACAGTGCGCTCCATTCAAATACGATGTGTCATCCGTGTGCTGGAGGAGACCATGGATAATGTGAAGAGCGCCTTGCTGTTGCCAAAGCTGCTGAGCTTGCCGCAAAATGCGTTCAAGGTCTTGATTGGCAGCAAGTACGAACCAGGCAAACGTCTGGTGGACGACTATATGCGGCGACGACAATTAATTGTCAAGAAGCAGCAAGCCCCGTTGTCTGATCAGTATCTGATCAGAATTCTTGATTACTTCCATCGAAATCCTGATGTATTCAATATGTTTCCGGATGTTACATTGACGCCCGAAGATCATCAGATGCTAAACATCTTTGCGCTGCTCTTGCGAATATCCAAGATCCACTTGAACCGCAGCTCAAAGACTGAGATAAACCAGGAGCGCTTACTGCAGAAGGTCTACCAGAAAAACGAAAAGCTCAAAGACACCATCATACAACTGCAGGCCACGCTCGAGTCACAGAAAAGTCAGATGGAAAGCAAATTGACAACAAAAGAAGTTTATCTGCAAAAATGCGAGCAGGCGTTGGAGCTTCAGCAAAAGGAACACCTGAGGCGCATAGAAAGTGAGAGGTGTGTGCGTATGTTTGTGTGCGCCAAGAACTATTTAATCTAAGCAGCTCTACAAAATCTTCACAGTGAAAAATGCAAATGTCTTATACAAGAAAATCAAAAAACCATTGCGGCAAAGCAAAACCTGCTCGAGGCTGAGCTGAAAACTTTAAGCGAGACTTACAACACACAAACCAAAACAAATGGAGTTGAATGTAAGCGTGTGTATGCGGAAAAGTAAGTAGACATCTGAAATTATTATATAAGAAACATATGTATGCCTATGTATATAATGAATACGTGCCCAACACCAGAGTCAAGGAGCAGATGCAGGCTGAAGCCGCTATCAAGAAATATGAACATACAATTGGCAGTAAAATGCTTGAATGCTTGGATATCGAGGATCTTTTTAGTGTGGAACAGGACAAATTGGACCAATTGATGTTGATCCATAGCGAGGTGGAACGTGAGTACAATAAAATTGTTGTAAGTCGTGAAACGCTGCAGGAGCAGAACAAGAAAAAGGTGATTCATTTGTATATGATGAATCGAGCGGCACGCAAGATACAAGATTATTGGCGACGCTATCGCAAAGCTCTGATCATGAAAAGACGAAAGTCTAAAAGGAAATCCAAAAAATGGGCTTAGCTATATTATTTAGAAGAACGAAGAGCTTAAGAAGATTTTTTCAACTGGATTGAAATAATGGTCTTCAGCTCTTTGGGAATTCCAATGTATAACTAAAAGTCTATGAATATTAATACGATCCTATTTATAGACACTATTTGTGACTTGATTTTCGGAGCACTTATTCCATGCATTTATGTATAGAAAGAGGAAAAAATTTAATTAATGCAGGCGTCGAACAAATAAGATGGAGATGTGGCTCGAATGGCGCTGGCAAAAATTCATTGAAATTACCGAGCGTGAAATGAGCAGCTGTCACTGGAGCACAAAGGACATTGAGCAGACAGACCAGGACACGCAAGCATACACAGACAAACACATACACACATATATATATATATATATATATATATATATATATATATATATATATATATATTTATATACATATATATATATGTGTGTGTGTGTGTGTGAGTGTGAGCACACACAGAGAAAGGCAGACGTGCAGACAAAAGCTTGACAGCTTGAGATAGAAAGCGAATGGCATTTGAAATTTCATTAAATTTCCCTTTTTGGTGCACTGCGAGAAGTCGCGCCATGGAAATTCTCGCTGCTGTATTGAGACCGACTCTAGATATATGTACGAAAAATATATATATACATATCTAGGAAAAGAGAGTCAATAGCCTTGCGGTACTTGCGGCCTGTAAAAGTTTCTATTCAATTAAATGATGCCCATCAGTTGCCAAATTCGAAAGTTCACGATATTCTCGATTCAAATGCAGCTGTTCTTCATTTGATACCGTTGAATTTTCTATTCCGTTGACCGCACGCCGTATTCCATGCTCGGAGTATTTCGCTTTCTATGCGTCGCCATAAATTAAGGCTGAATAAGCGACGCTTTTAATCTGCGTAACTTTGGCGGAGGCAGTGACTGGACACGGCCGGGACACGGCCTGGACGGGGCCATTGTAATCAGCACATTGTGCTCTTCACATAAATCCGGACAACTCCGATAAGTCCTGGGCCAACGTAAACAGGCTGCAGTCGGAAATGGTCTGGCAACGCTGCTGGCGAAGCTACGTCAAGCGCAACCTGAAAGATGAAAATCCCTCGCTTCAAATGGATTTACGCGCACTCGCAAAGTGCCGGAGTGGAAAAGATGCCGTGACTGGGCGTGAATAGTACTACACGTCTTGGACCCGCCCACTTGCCACTTGCCAGTCGCCCATGCTTCTGCTGCAGGATGCGTAAATTTGCCAAGCTGGAAAAATATGCGCAAATGTGTTGGCATTAACAATACCTCAGTCAGGGGTGGAATCGGATAAAGAACTCGCTCGAGCACGGCCATTGCACCAGATATCAGCAGCTGAGCGAACTCCTACAGCTGCCTGACTATCCTTTCTGCTTAATTTACTTCACATAAAGCGCTTAATATTACGAATGAAATATTTTTTGAAAGCTAACTTAGCAGTTAAGTACTTGAGCCAGGTATTTATTGAAGGAATTCTTCTGTGCTTTAAAGGTATTGAACAAAGAAGTATGCTGTAGTCCGAACGTTTTAAATCTTTGATCAGCATGCAGAAAGAAGACGATAAAGTATGAAAAGTTCAAATTCATACAATGCAGTCAAAGCTGCGCAACAGGAGGACATAGCAATGGTTTTTGAACTTTTAATTAAAATTTGCGAATTTTCATAATGAATGCAGAATTTGGATCATATTAAGTTTCCATCTACACTTAAAATACAATTTTCAGTTTCTAAGAGTTAAAAGGCAATGCAAATATTGCAAATGTTCAAGGGAGCAAATCCTCATTTAATGATATAAAATCGCACTCTTGGCCAAATAGTGTTTGGGTTTTTAGAATCAGTTAGGCAAAGTGTAGTCATGCATGGAAACATTCACATTTGAAAACAGACGGTACACGAGTGCATGTAGTAGTAGAACAGAGTATCTGGCACAATTTATGGCACTTACATGTACACACACACACACAAAAGAGCAGAGACATGCAACAGCCACTAACGAGCCAGTTTGGGAGAATTTTCGTAATTTTTGTTTTAAATTTTAAAACTCGAGGCTGACGCTTCGCATTCATGCCTTTCACTTAATTTATTATACGCTATCTCTCCACTGCCTGTCTCTCATCCTCTTATCCTCTTTGGCTGGGCACTCTAAGCCATGCCAATAATTCGCAGAGCACTCTGCAGCCACATGCTATGGCCAAGTCCATGTTGAGTGTGCGCATGTTTTTCTCGTTTGCAAATGGATTCCCGGCTGCATTCGGCCAGAGTCGCATATTAGCTGCAAGCCAGCTCGGCTAGTTTGCGCCAACAACTACAGGTACACGCCAGCTGACTGCTAACCGTAACCCATAAATGGCATCTACTGCCAGTCGATTGAGCAGTTAACATGAAATGGCTCATTTTACGCATAAATAACTGTTGCTCTGCGAAGTAGGGACTTGCTAAAGGTCTTATTCGTCTGCTTTAATTAAAGCCTTGTGTACTTAATTTGAAATCACATATACGTCTTGTAATTGCCCAGTAGGTTGCATAACGTAATTTCATCATCATCTTTATTCGCTTCTCCAAAGTGTTTCATTCCATTTTATTCCACTTTGTTATGTACAATTGTTGATTTTTGTAAATTGCTGATCAACAGCTATCAGTTTTCGCTTGTTCCATTCCATTTTGTTCCTATGCAGCTTAAAGATCACTTTCTCCAGTTTCATTCCATCCATTTAGAGCTGAATGCTAATCTTTAATAGCTTTGAGATCGTTAAGCAATTTTAGCAAATTTTATTTGATTCCATTTTGTTCCACATCTATACAAAAGTTGATCGAGTGTTCACATAAACGAGTTGTCCCTAATTTTGATGAGTATTGATTAATTTTAATTAATATATCTACATTCCCTTTTCATATCTTAATTCCATACCATTCCACTCTTCACTACTTCACCATCAATTTGTTTCATTTCACACTACTTACCAAAAATCTACTTTAAGTAAATGTCTACTCGCCTTGGCGCCAACAACCTTTCGCTTGTTTAACCTTGAAGGTGTTAAGATTAAAACCAATCCACTAAGCATATATATATATATATATATATATATATATATATATATATATATATATATATATATATATATATATATATATATATATCCTTCTCAAGGGCTTTTTCCGTCTACTCTGATATTGTTTAATAAAGCAGCAGCCCTCGAAAATGAGCAATAAAAATGGTTTAATTGGAATTCTAAACAAATCGCATTGCATGTTAATTTAAAATTGCCAAATGCTGCCGACAGCCGTCGACCAAGCCACCCATTAAGCGACCCACCGAATTACATTCAATGGGTATAAAATAAACCAATTTCCCGCCGCATCGCCATCGGCTATATGGTCTATATTGGGCTGTTTGGTAGTCGGCCGGGTGACCGCACGCCGCAGGGCTTTGGGCGCAAGGCGCCAGGCGCAGGACGCAGGGCGGCAGGCACGGATACGAAAGTTCCGTCGAACATTTTTACCATGAATTTGTGTAAACTTTTGGCGCACAAAAGTTGTATAAATGCGCTCGAATTCGAGTCGGAAGCATAAATTTCAATATAGGCAAAATGTCATGCATCCGCCGCATGGCCGAAAATGCAGCGCGCAAATTGAAACAGAAACAATTTCGGTCCAAATTTCTATGCCAGCGGCACGTTTTAACCCAATTTTTGGGCCATGTACGCTGCTCGTTGAGCCACGTGCTTTTTAATTGAGCTCAAAGCGCCCACATCTAATTATAATTGCCGATGTGTCCTTGCGGCTGATGTGTGTCCACCTCCTCTCTGTCTCTCGCGATCTCTCTGTGCACACCAGCTAGCTATGAGCCAGACAGCGCGTGGCATCGCTTGGCAGTATATTTCAATGTTATCTAGCAAGTCATCGTCACGTTTACAGGTATTATCATCGGCAGTCCAGACCTCCGCCGGCACCGCTGCCTCGGACTGCCATCAACGCAGCTGACTGCGTGTCAAATGTCAAAAAAAAAAAAAAAACGCAAGAAGAAGAGGAAAATTAGGAACTCAACGAAAGCGAAAATTCCATTTTTCCACGTCAAGTTTTCGACACGTCGAAATGTCGCGACTCCGACCGTAAAGAAAAATACTTGCTTCCTGCCATTTCCTTGCCTGCAACCATCAACATTTGCCGCAAATTAAGTTGCACATTTAGTTGAAGTAGTTTCCTACTTGCCACCACAGAATTGCGTGCTAGGCAAATAAATATAAAGTGCTCGAACTGATTAACTGCTATATACCCTATGCGGTCTATGCTTCACTTGAGTTTTCTTTTAATAACAAAATTATAAACCTGATCAATAAATCAATAAATATGGCCAACGTGAGCAAGTTTAATGAACTCTAAAAGACTCAAGAAATTTGAGCTATATCCCCTAACTGAAAGACTTTTACTCCTTCCAATTCCATAACATCCTCTCAATGTCTAGCAGTGGGCATAGCCAACGACCCAGCACAGATAGCGTTGGGTTAGTTTTTGTTTATTTCTTTGGATGCCATATTCATATATATACATATATATAGTCGCATATACATGCAGACATGTGTGTGTGAAGTGTTTCGATGCGGAAAAATAAAATTTATGCGCATTTGGGCGTTTCTACATTTGCCAGCTGTGCGCCAAGCATTTTTCATTAAATATCTCATTCAGAATATACTGAACACAACTACAAAATGGAATTTAATTTAATAAAGTCTTGAAATCTTTATCATACAAGAAATTTGAAAACAACAAAAACATCAGCTCCCACAATGCGGCGCTTGAATTCTATTTGTAAAATATACCCAGACAGCGTTGCTTGCGATCATTGGCAGCGCGAGATTTGTACGCGATGTCCCAACGCGAAAATCGGCGAGGATCGGAATCACATCCACAGCTCCAACAGCCCCGACCACAAGCTGATTACAATTGAAGACTGCCAGCGCCTGCAGCGAGAGCTGCAAGCTCCCATTTTTAATTACAACCCGGCCATGAATTCTATGACCTTTTTGCTGATTTTCCTTTCCGTGGCGCTTTGCATTGGTTTGATCATTTGGTTGCTGGCCAGAGCTTTTGTGCTCAAGAATCCGCCGCCCTGTCCAGACGACTGCGTTACGGCACCCCGATCTGACAGGCACTCGGGCGGCCAGACATCAAAGGACGGCATTTTGCAGCAGATGCAGGACAAATGTTTCGCATCAACGAAGGGGATCAGCAACGTAGACAAGAAGGCGTTATATGTGCCATCAACATTTTGGGAACGTTTTTCAATAAAAGGACCCAAGAGCTTGGCGAAGGGATATGAGTTTCAAGTGAACGAATCTGAGGAAACAAGTGACGTTGAATCGAGTGCCTATCAAACAGATGAATTCCAAGACAAGTCCACAGATGAGGAGACATTTAGCACAACTAGCGACCTATCCGAAAGAGCCACTGCACTTATAGATCAATCCTCTATAACCATGAGCATACAGAGCGAGCCACACAAATGCGATGATTCCATTGGTAAAATGCCAACAACTTATGAGCCAATGTCCACGACTCAATCAAACACCCAGGGCCGCGGCAACATACGCTGGGCGAATTGGCTAAGACGAGGAAAGCAAAACGATTATCAGGTGTAGCTGAGCAGCAAGTAGGCATAGGTTCACATCACCTTATATATTTTTTTTGTATTGGCATATCACATTTGTACTCATTAAATAAAGAGCAATGAATCCAAGTTGCAAGCAACATATTAACAGTCCCGAGTGTCAACAGTGGATGAGCGAAGTATTCGCCCACTGCAATCGTCTGTTGGCCGACAATCAGCTCGAGTTCTGGGACGAATGGTGGCTCCATGAGCAACCGCTACCATCCTATCAGGTGCCGCATCTAATGTCCGCCAACCAATGCCACAAGTTGAAAAAGCAGATTCAACGTGAGATTGCTGCAGCCGCCAACTTGACACCAGAGCTAAGTTTCGATTTGGAGCACATGGACTCCAACTTGCGCTTGCTGCTCGTCATATTTGTTCTATGTGCAGCGCTGGGCATCATTGGGTTCATGGTCTGCCTGATAAACACCACACTGCGACGCATTGCCAAGCCCGACCTCAACGGTTGCGAATATCAAGGTACTGGCTTCCCACCAAGCAATTAGAGATCTCCCATTCCCTTTAGCATTCCCGCGTGGCGCCTGCAGCGCAGCCCAGCGATAATTCTTTAGCAGCCGCAATGCGCTCGCCCTTGACTTGACCATTGACAGCAGCGACACATCACAGGGCACGCGTGACCAAAACTCGAATGCGAATCCCAACCGAATCCAAGAAGCGCAGCCAAAAATAACGACAATTAAAACAAAAACAAAAAAAGCAAGTTGTGCTCAATCGCGGCCAAGATTTATGAAATGTGTTCCGCAACGGTTTTTTTTATCTTTTTATGTTTTAACTCAGCTTGTTTTTATTTTTGCGGGCCAGCAAACAACAAACAAACAGGCACACAACAGGAGCAGAACACTAGGGCATATAAATAACGCCCCTGTCAAGCACAATGGCTCCAAATGGCAGATTTCTTGCTTAAACCTGAATATATATGCATATGTATATATATGTATATATTCATTTGCTCAAACCCCAAGGCAGTCTGCATGGCGGAATTTAATATTCTGATCGTGATCATATTCATTGCCTCAATCATGGGCTCCAGGAAAGGCTGCAATACAAAGAGCTTCCTGATCTCTATCCACTATTTGTATATTTTATATGTTAATATTTATATGTTTAAAATTGATAAATAATTTAATTGTGAGCTTATCGATTTTATTGAAATATTCCAGGCATTAATAGTTTACTAAAATGTTAACTTTTCAATAAGATAAACTTTCGTTTGATGAGAATGGCGAAGGTAGCCCATAGTTGGAATACCCAAGGATATCGTTTCAAGGAAACACATTTATTTGAATCAAACTTTAGCTGCGTGCTATAGCCTGTGGCTGGCATCCATGTAAAGTTTCAAGTCCTACCTAATTGTTACAAGTTCATATATATGCGAGTTCGATGCTTTCATTGACACACAGACACCCACATTCAAGCGCACTATCAACATTTGAGTGTGCAACGGCCTATAAATCCGCATCTAAGCCCAAAGCCAAGCATTTTTCACAAATGCAGCGGAAAGTCGAAACTAAATTGTAGCGCATAAATAAAAATCAATTGAATTCGATTAATTGTACATTCCAATAAAATGCTGGCAAGCAACTTGTGCAAATGTTTTTCATATTTATGCTTATGATTAAATGATCGCTCGTCCGTAAAATGGCTTTACTATATGCACTTCCTTCTAATACTCTTTCTGTATAAAGCGGTCTCTTGACTGTGTACATGTTCGTTGCGGAAAGCGATATACCCCATGTTCCAGGTATAGCTCTACTTCAACTATTCCACTATTGACCTTCTGCTCAACAATCAAAATTTCCTTATTTTCCCTCGAGCTGCAGTCAATCAATCAAACCAAAAAGCATTTTTCGGTCTAATTCAAACTCTATTGGCACTCTAAACAGAGTATTGGACAGTCGATTGCATTCGACAGCTTTCATATTCTCTTCGTTTTGTATTTGTTTTATTTTACGAATTTATTTTTGGTGCCCGCGACGTCCCAGGCAACAAGCTCGACACTTAAATCACAGTCGCTACTGCAGCAAAATTGAAAACTTTCGCCATATTCCCGTATGTGACACACATATATTCATGTATGCATGTGTGTATGTGAGTGTGTGTGTGTGTTATGTATGTATGGGCGGCTTGTTTGTTTTTACTTTTAATTCATTGGACAGTGCAGCTGCCGCAATTGCAGACCCATATCCCGGACTCAGACAGAGACCGGGTCACAGCGTGACTTTGATTTATTTGTTGGTTTTCATGCCCAAATGGAATTAAAAGTTTAACATATACTGCGTTTCAATGTGAGCAGCAAATAAAAAAAATAAGAGCGGAAAGAAGGGACAACATTTCATGTAATTGACAAATTGATTTTACTTTAAATGTCAATATCCATATGGTGTATGAGCGAAGCTTTATTAACAAAAGCCATTCGGATTATAACAAAAAGGTCATGATAAATTACGTATACGCCACCGCAAACGAGTTTGTTTATTAAAACTTATTTCATTTGTCAACGCATCAATTATTACGAGATATCATCTGAAGTAAAAAGTCTTTAATGTGAAGATCCTCTCTTTTTTTCAGCGTTCATTCAGAGATTAATTGTTGGAATTTAATAAATTATATTTTAATTGTTTATTTCATTTTTAAATCTGCTTCATATTTCTTTGTCTCTTTGTTACTGAGCACCTATTAAAGTTTTATTAATTGAAGAACTCATTAATGTCAATTAAAATATTATTCTTATTGAAAAATGTCAATAAAGTTGTCATGAAATTGACATTATATGTTGGAAATAAATTTTAATTAATTTGCATTTAATTAAAAAGCTTGAGTTTCTGTTGATTTGCGCTGCCACCAAACGAGTTGTTCGCTTTGTGCATATGCTTAATTAATGGTATACCAAAAATTTCAATAACCGATGTGAATTTAATTCCTGGTCACAAGCCAACATTGCAATTTATAGCTGGATCTATGCTTAGTTAACTTTGCGGTTCTCGAGCAATTTTTAAAATTTTCATATTAGTTTGCCGGGAAAGCTCTGCAAACAATAAGCGAACTTGTGGCTCAACTTGGAGTGGGTGTGTGCATAGATGGCTGACTTTCATGCAGCTTTTTTCTTTACAAGAACTGACTCGTTGATTTTGTGGCCAGCACTCATTAAGCCAACATGGCCGGGCAACTCTTGTCCCTGAAGCCCTGACCAGCGGCCTGCTTGATTGTTAGCTAAGAGGAGGAGCCCTGTAGTTTTATATGTGCAGCATGTTGACGTGAGTTTTTATACTCAAAGCTGATTTATTTCTTATGGTCATTGTGCCTGCTTCAGCTGCTGCTACTGCTGGAGCTCACATTTCAAGAGCTCAAACAAAACAGGCAAACAAAAACAACAAAAATAAAAAACAGAGCCAGCTGAAAAGCAGTATGGAAAATATTAATAATCCGCGTTGTCTTCACAGCCTTCTTCATGTCCACACAATTTATTACAGCTCGCATTTTATTTATGATTACGCAAATCAGCATCCGTTTGCCCACTTCATATCTTATTTAGCACGCAGAACCCACCAAGGTCGATTGGCTTTAAAAAATATACAAATACACCTGCAGCATTAACAGTCTGGCAGTGCAAAGATTGCGTGTAAACTCATAATATTTTGCCTGAACCCAATGCAAAAATAAACATGGTCATAAATTATTCAATACACGCTCTTCATGATTTTTTCCACGCATTTCCAACCATCGATTCCACCAAATTTGTCAGCGTCATGCAAATCGCGTCGCATCGTATTCCAATGCTTAACTCTTAAGAGTATCATCATCATCATCATCATCAACAACATCAACATCAGCTGAGCTGTTGGTTCACTTGCTTGTGATGGATGTTGATTTCATTGAATTTCAATTTTATTGCATGCACAAAATCATTCAATGCTCCAAGCCTTTTCGATTCATATGTCTCAGTCAAATATGTTTTGTACTCCAATATAAGCAAAAATATATTCCATGCCGGAGATTCGCCCGTAAATTTAAATCTCTTCGGCACAGCATCAATTTTGACGCTTCAAAGCACTATTGTTGAAGCTGAGTTGTAAGTGAAGTGTGTAGATTTTCTTTACATGATTTTATTTATTAAATAACAGGTATAAGTATTTATGTTTTATGCTTATCAAATATATATAAATATTTGTCTAATATATGTATGCCAAGAATTAATATTGTATGAGTTGAGCAAATTAAGAGCGGCCCAATAGACTAGCTTTGTAAGAGATTTTTGATAAGAGATTGCAGTCGCCCGTTCCGTTTTCTCTGTAATCATAACTTGTGTCTTCGTTCTCATTGCGCATCGGTTTGATCATACATTCTTCCATAGCATAAGAAGAGCGAGCAACTATCGTTCGATTTGTGCAGTTGCCCGTGCGTCGACAGCTCTGCAAATTGCCCAGATAAATTGAATATATATGTTCATAAAAATGCTCTCAATTAACTTAATGCTGCTCTATAGCATAACAATATGTATATAATAATTTCCGAATATATTAATATATCCAATACTTTTAAAGCTCTTTAGTCTCTTTGGTATATGTTTGGCTGAAAACCAATCTCATATGTTATTATGTTATTACACTAAGTCAAGCCCAGTTTACTTACAGCTATAAGCGATTAAAAAAAAATTTTTGAAACTTTATTTCCACTATAAGCCACGTCTTATGCACAGAGTCGATTGCATTCTAAGCTTAAATTTTATTCGATTTGTGTTTACATGTTTAATTAAAGAAATTTGCAATGTTGAAAGCAACAAGTTGAGCGGATTGTGTTTGCTTGGTATTTTATTTTATTTTTAATACGTTTAATTATATCTAAGAATTGTTATAAAGTTATGAAATGTTTCAATTTCATTCAATGCTTTAAATGCATTCAAAAGCAAATCTTAAACTTTAAATGAGAAATATAATTTGACAATATTTATGTTTGATTGCCTTGTCAATATTTTACAGCAATTGTTTATAGTTGACTAAAGCAAAATATTTTATATTTATATGTCAATCAGTCAGCTTTTGATGCGAGTTTTAACCTCAATTAAAATCAAATAACTGAACTGAGCATCGTTTTCATTATGTGCCAATCAGCTTTCACAGCAAATTAGCCAGTCAAACGGCTCAAACTTTCACAGCCAGGCAGATGGAGGGGGAGACGTGCAGGAAGGCAGGCAGGCGGCAAGGCAGGCGAGACACGAGTTTGCCCTGCGGTTCTTTAAGAACACACTTACATGTGCTGACATACGCACTTACACATGCAGTAGTCCCTATATGGATAGATATCTAGATATGTATATGTGTAGCATAAAAGTTTTCAAGCGCTGCGTCTTTTTGGGGTGCGAGCAGCCGCTTTTAAAATGTCACAGGGGCCACAAAACTTTGACGGCCACACAAGCATGAAAAAGCCAAGGAAATTCAAACAAAAGTGCAACAACTTTCCCAGTGAACAGGGGCACTGCTGCCGCCCCCAAAGATTAGCCTTGAAAGACTTTGCCTTGTCTCTCATTGGACATGCCCATATGCTGCTGATATCTGTATAAAAATTGACGAGAATCCCGTGAGCTAATTGAAACCCTTTTTTTGCAACAGATCAAAAATTGTATCCTATTTGAGTCGCTTTCAGCTCAAATAAACTGATTAATGTTAATGTTGGCAATTAAAAAGCGTTAAGGGCTTGAGGCTATTATGTATCCAAATGAATGCGGATTATAGTCGCATTTATTTGCCTGGGTAGATATACTTGATCTTATTAACAGGACGGCCTTTCAGTTGTATTTTGTGCGAAAATTGGCGCCTGCTTCGACGCTAAGTTGACGGCAAGTTCTTAATCCGCGGCCGGGCGACGCCCTTGGCGCTATTTACCAGAGCTTTCCCTTCACTCTCGTTGGGCATCCCTCGCAACCTATGTCGCGTTCAGCGAAGCCCACAAAATTTGGGTTGACATAGTTGTCCGGCTAAGCCCCAAGAGAAGTGTAC